AATAGATATTTAACTAATTAATAATAAGTTATTTAAAAAAAAAAAAAAAAAATGATAACCGATGAGCGTCATAAGCAACGAGTTACAGAAATAACATGTTTTTCAGTTACATATTATGTATAACAGTATACCTACAATACACAATAAGCAATATATTATTATATTCATTTATTATTAATAGCAACATTGGATTACTGAAGCCATTGAATATTAGGTTTAATACATGTTTTTAGACTTAATAAAACACAAAACCGCAAGTAGCATCATTTTTAGGGCATTAACCATTAGAGAAACATTAAATATTTGTTTTACCACTTAAACAAAACAACATGATACGCCAAACGAAAACATTATACAATTCTACGGATATCGATTGATAACAACACAAAATGCTTTTCCCACATAACCAAAGAATGGAATTAAAACTATGCGATTATAATGTTAAAATGTATTTTATGATTTTTTTAATAGAAATTTTAAACGTCCCAAATGGGATTTTCGAGTATCTTCTTATCTATACTTTGTTAATCCGTTTTATCTTTTAATATATTTCACCACCCGAATCCTCGGTTGTATATTTTTTTTCTTTCAAAACGCAACATGTGAAAATGGTTTTTTTTTTGATGACTTGTGTATTATTATATTATAATCCTCATAAACGCGACGGCAGATAAATCATTTCAATACAGCATACACGATATTAAATTATATAACATAAAATATAATTTGACATAACATACATGCAGGGTTATAAGTCAAACGTTAAAACGTAATATATCTAAATAAGCTGACGGTTAAGCGTATAGAGTAAATTCGCGTAACTGAAACACGGAGTTTCAAATTGTTGTAGCCATCTGAATGGCAAATATGGAATAGAATAAACAACAACGATGGCGAAAACTAGATGGAGTCTAAGTACTTGAGAAATAATAAGCCAATCGCATAATATTAGGTATTTAATAAAAGAAAACGACTGACGATAAAATAACTCGAGCGTGAATCATTTTGGAAAAATGTCATATTGTATTCATGACGATGACGTTAATAAGACGGTTTATCGGCAAACCACGTTTACCCGCAGCCCATAGATACGGTTAACGGATGTGCCCTTCTTGAGAGATTAAAAAAAAAAAACGATTTAATGTTAGATATATGTATACGAATATAAAATGGATATTAGGTATACATACGTACGGCAAAATAATACCTACGCGCGTTCGATTATCCGAATTGAAAAAAACCGGACAACGAGGTATGTCAAACGTGTGGAAATCACGTTTAACGATTCCATAAGCACGCACAATACCCGTAAACATAATAAGATTTCGTGATTGGGAATAATAACGATATAATGCGAAACGCATAAATCGGTGCAACGAAATTCGCCCTCTCCGTTGCCGTCGGAGCATCTCGCTCTAGAAAACTATTTACAGCCCCCGTGGCGGTTGGTCTTATGAATGGTCCATGTCGTCGTCGCCCGTTGGTATTAAAAACGTACAACATCGCACTATATACGTATGCATGTATTATGTGTATTATATATACATCGTCGCACAAGGATTTCTCGGTTTATTGTGTTTACACATGTGTGCGTGCGTACGCGCGCGCGCATTAGGGGTTTGGTGAAAGGGGGTTGTTAAATCATCATGGAATGCGTCGTCCGAAAGTAAATATAATGGAAAACTTGTAAATTGTCGGCACGATAACACAGGGCTATATATAATACGTACAAATATACGCACACCCACGCATAATGTTACGTACGGTATATGGCACGGCGCAAAAGAAATGAAAGGAAAAAATATCGTTTACTACGTCGCACGAAGGTGCTTCTCCTTTTTCTCCTAATCTCGTTCTCCACCTATAGTAATGACGGGTCTAATGTGCGCCTGCATGGCTGTTCGTGTGCGCGCGTGCGTGCGTACATCGACGACGCGTGTGCGGTCTGTGGTGAAAAGAAAAAGAGAGACGGACAGATGCAGTGAAAGAGCGGTCGAGGGTCGGGACCGAAAGACCCTTCGCATCAAATAGACCGTACGCACACGCACGAATGGCGATGGTTAGTGGTGGTGGTGGCGGCGGCGGCGCAGTTAAGAAGAAAAAAAGGTTTATTGTACACAATATATTTTATATACGTAGTATTTTTAGACCGGTTGAATGGGCGACAAAAACGTCACAATAAAATGCCTGCAACAACCAGCATCCGGTATATCGTGCGTTACGGAGGGCTTCAGAATATGGCCGGAAGTAGGAGGTATTATTTATTAATTTTTTTTTTCTTCTCTCTTCCCTGAGTGGTGTTCCTTCGAGTAGTTCGAGTCTCCATTTACCCGTCAGGCGTCACTGCCGCCATCGGCGAAGAGACCGCCAAGTAAAATAACAACAAATAATAATATTGTTGACGGAGTGCCGTACGATTGTGTGAAAACGCGCGTTAAAAAGAACAACAAAAATCAATGGACTTCTCTAAACATTTAAGAATTTCGCGAACGCGCGTTAATCTCGTTTCAACCAACGATATGGTGCACTACCATACAATTAAAACTTGAATCAGCCCTCAAACTGTGAACACAAACTCCCCTTAAAAATGTTTAATGAAAAACGTTTTATAGTGAAAAAAGAATAAAACATTTCGACAATTCAATCCATTCTCTTTTCAAGGACGATTCTAAAAAAATATAAAACTACGGAGGTAACAAACTTTAATTTCTGACTAGAATTAATAAAATGTATTTTTAGTTTCAAATTAGTCATTAAAACACGCATACAGAAAAAAATACATTCACTGCAATAGTTACTACTAAAAAATAAATATAAAATAAATTATAATGGTTAAAGTAATCTTAGATTGATTAGGGTTAGCCAGTTAGGTTTACTTTGTTGAATAATGGTTCATACTGAAGCATATTTAAATATTTCCAGGTGAACCGACGTTTTTTATTATGGCTGTATATTTTATGTATTTACGTACGTTTAAAATGTATCTTAATGGGTTGAAAAATTATAATGCAAAAATGACAAAATAAATGAATAATTTCGTAAATGTTTTAAAAAAACAGTATGGTGTATGAAGGCAAAAACATATTATTATATAGGTAACCATTGTGTATGGAGAAATACTGTTGCGATTTTTGTTCTTACGTATAATATGTACATATAATACTATAATAAGATATCATACAATAATTTTACAAAAGAAAACTAATCGACGTAGAAACTTAAAATACCGTATCCAAAAGTGATAATAATAATATATTTTTGTTAGAATGTAATCCCTCTTACCAATTTATCATCCCCGTGCACACACACACACACATATATATTTATATATATATATATATATATATATATATATATATATATATATGAAGAGAGAGAGAAAGAGAAAGAAAAAGACAGTAGATACCAGTATATACACAAAGATAAAAATCCCTACGACAATAATGAGAGTAATGGTGCCTGTGCGCTTCGAAGCCGAGGACAAAAACGACATGAACCATTCACAAGTCTTATTTTATTTATCTTAGTATGTAATAACAGAGTCAGTAGTTTATCCTGAGTTACCGTCTAACTTTGAATTAGCATTGTTTCAGTTTCACCATAGGTTTTTGGCATAGGCGGACATCGGGGGAGTGGGGGGCTTGGGAGGGCCTAGCCCCCTAAATATTTTAATAGCCCGTCCAAAATCGAAACTTTGTTAGAAAAATTATTGGTTGTTTTTATAATCATCTGTTCGTTATTTTGAAAATCGTAAAGTAAAAAATAATAAAAAACTATTTACAATAGCATTAACAATACCAATTAGTTCGGCTACTTGTAAAAGAAGTTTCAGTGCAATGAAAAAAATAAAACTTGGCTAAGGACATCGTTTGTTCAAGATAAGTTTAGCGATCTTTCAATACTATATATTGAAAAATATAAAAAGCGATAATACTTTGAATATCTTTGCTGATACAAATAGATATTTCTCATTAAAATAAAATATTAATTACTCGTATTTTTAAATATACGTTATTTAGTGTTTTTTTAATACAATTTAAACATACCTATATATATTTTTTATAGTTATTAGTTTTAATTGTGCCTAGGAAAGGGGTGTGAGGGCGAACTCCCCACGGGTTATTTTACATTGAATTATTATAGTCCCCCCCCAAAATTCAACCAAATGTCCGTCTATGGTTTTTGGGTAGGAGTTAGTTAATCCGAGTTAACCTCGTTGCAATAGTATTTCCTCCAGGATTTTGAAGATAACGTTGATAACTAGGGAACGGATTTATATGTAATAAAAATATAGAAATATTTACATATATATGTAACTATAATTTATAAAATATGTGCTAAAAACATTCAAACATGTGGGGGAAAAAAGTGATTATTATTATTAAATTATCAAAATGATTTGTTGCATTGAATTATTACAATATCTTTTAAATTATCAAATGTTAAATGTCGCCTATTAGGTATCAAACTATTTTTAAAACGGCTAAATTATCGTTTCATATCAACCGATGTATTTAAAGCATATTTCAAGTGCGTACCATCAGAAGGCGATTATTCCAAATTTTAAGAAGGGTGTCTGCCACTCATTATGTCATTGATTGTTTTAAAATCAATATTGCCTATATGTGTTTAAAAATATTTAAAAATTAGTGAAATATGTAAAAATATGTAAAAGTATCATCGTTTTAATAGGAATGATTTAAATCATAAACATTTCTTATCGAATCTTAAATATCTCGTTTTAATAAAAATATGCATTTACATATAAATCCGTTCCCTATTGATAACAATTCCACATTTTCGCGTATCTATTCTATTATGTAATGCATACTGTTTTTCGCGTGGTCATAAATGCGGTGTTTTGTTTGATTTTATTTTTGTGCTTTTTACACTTCTGTATACGGTTTGTGTTTCTATTTTCTTTGACTATGGAGAAGCGTAAAAGAAATGTTAACTTCAGGGTTAATAAAGGGTAATAAATGTTTCCATTATCTCTACCTAGAAAAGTTACGATGAATCATGGTTGTATAAAAAAGAACATAATGGCAATAGTATTCAATTTTATTTATACCTGGACACTAAATTTTTATATGGGTACAGTCTATAGTTCCTATTACTCTGGGAAATCTACATCGGCTGTAAAATCCAGTGACTACCGTTTTTATATCAACATCATTCATAGAAAACGACATGAAATTTTGTTTTTGCTTTGCTATGGCTCTACATGTTTGGTAAATGTAACGACTGGCTGATGATTCAATAACCCCAACTAAGTCAGAAATAGCTAACAAAAATGAACCTGTAGCAAGATACCTCAGTATCATGTACAGCTTACAAAGTGCCAATATTGCTCTATTTCTGAAACAAAAAAAAGTAATATTATAAGTAGAAAAAAAAACCATAACAATACAACTTTTGCATACAGCTATCATAAAAGAATTATAATAATTGGCAGTTGATCGCCGTTTATAATAGTTTCAATAAAAAAAGTTAGACATCTGTTATTAAAAGTTAATTACCTTTGAGAGGGAGGAGATATTTCTTCTTCTATCAATCTCAAGATAATACTAAACGTAGCTTTTGAAATACGAAATCTATTTATGATATCATGATCGTCATATAATTCGCAATAGTTGATTCTCTCATAAAAGATGCAAGGTCGTCGTTGCATCGCACTAATCTGTTCATCATCGTCCTTGTTAATGTATAGTATTTGACGATACATAACTACTTTCAGTGAACACTTGTTATAGAAGATGTATTATATATGAAAATATTTAAGTCAAAAATCCAACGAAACAAAAAATTGAACAAAAATTGATATCATATGTCATCTACGTCATGACAAAATATATTATTTATAATATATAATATACTATAGTAGGATGAAAAAGGGCATTCTGGAACCACATACACTGCTGCCGCCTACACCGCCACCACGACCCGTCACCACCGCCTTCGCTATCTCTACTCACAACCACATACACCGCCACCGCCCTCCCCGCAACCCTTCATCACCACAAACATCACCACCGCGCCACACTACCCTTCACTACCGCAACCACCAACCATCACCATCACATCACATCCCGCCACCACTGACTGATTAACCTGCCAATCTTATATACGTTATCGCCTGCGCCGCGAACGCGATCCAACGCTGCCGTCAAGAACCAAGATCTATAAAGAAGATCTAAAGAATTCTTTATAGATCTTGATCAAGAACCACCACTGATATCACCCTCGCCTGAAATATGATAATACATATAGATAAGAGATATAATTTTTCCCGTAGTAATACGTGACGAAGACCGATTATGTTTTCCTTGAGATAGCCGACAAAGACCAGTTATGTGTAATTTATATTCCATATATTTTTAACAGACATTAGACTTAAATGGCTATCTTAACAATTGTTACGCAAACCCTTTTTTCTCTAAAAATCCATTATTTTTGTTACAAAATCATGCCAGTTGAGACCTGTTCGAGCTTGGTTAAAAACGGCTCGAGGTCGAACCATCTCTCTCATAAAAATGTTTCTTTTCAAAATGTCTCGGTCATTAACTGTCGAGTAAACACTTTTTTCCTCTAAAAACCCGTTGTATTTGTTACAAAATCATGCCAGTTGAGACCTGTTTGAGTTTGGTTAAAAACTGCTCGAGGTCAAACCATCCCCTCTCATAAAAATTGTCTCTTTTACAGTCATCAACAATCGGTGGGACCGGAAGCTATTCAGTCTGTTTTCAGTCTTATTTACGCTACACATATTTTTTCCATTCTTTTTTTTCCGAGTATTTTTAAAAATAATATGGCCGATTCAATTGCTAAAAACATTGCAGTTAAGAAATAGTAATATAAGAACAAATATATACAACTCCAAAACGACAAGAATATATCAAACAAATACCTATCACAAATCATAAAACAAGAACAAGAAGAACAATAAATCAACAGTATATAAAAAAAGAAAAAGATAATCCCCAAATATAAACCAAAACTTAAATACTATTCGACACTACCTACAAGAAAGCCAAGAAAAAGGACCTAAGAAAGACCAAACATAAAAATAGACATAAAATATAGGTATACAACTCCAAAACGCTAACAATACATCAAACAAATAATTATTTTGCTATGTATCGATTTAAAGCAAAAGGCCATGTAAAATAGTACCGGTAATATCACCAACTACATGCGGGAGGTATTATTTTATGCGACCAGGAAAATGACAGCGTAAAATGGTATCTACCGATTACAAAACATGGTCGGAAGATACTATTTTACATTGTCAAAACAAACAAGTGCACAAATCCAAACGAATCCACGGGAGATAGACGTGTACAAATAAGAGGCCCCAAACACCTTCAATACACATTTTTCAATCAAACCGATATCATCAATCCAGTTAGAAATATTGAAAAGAGGAGAACAGTTCTACGACGACTGCGGCAACAGCGGAGGAGATTACGGCGACCACATTGACGACGAGGACTGCGACGATTGCTGCGACCACGACCACCATCACTACTGCAGCGAAAACGACTACGGACAACGATCTTTGCTACGACGACTGCGGCAACACGGTTACGGCGACGATAACAACAACGTTGAATATTTGTCACAGTTAGATATCCAACGGATATATAAATTAAAACGGCCCTTGTTAGGGCAACTAAATTTCCACCCACCTTCAATTATATGATCGACGAGATCCAGGGTCCGCGTTGGCGTATTGACGAAAACTTATTTGAGTTATTCCGATAATTGCCAACGATCATCCCTTGCATAATTGTAAATATAATAACTGTATTCTCGGAACCCGGTCAGTCCCTTATTTAAGCTTGTTGATCGGGACCCAGACATGGAAACTATACCCCATGATCTCAACAAGTACTATTGGAATAAAAACAATGTAGTGAAGTTAGTTAACACTAGTTGTCCACTTTAATCTAAATCGGCTTCTCGATAGCACATTTCACTGCTAAAGGGGTTCCTACGTTAAAAGAAATAAAGAAAATCAATTCCCGATTACATTACTCATGTATTGTAAGAAAGTTAAGATATATATTATTATCTATATATTATTAATATCTAATAAATATATTTTGAACAAAAATTAGAGGAAATGTAATTTGTAAAAATGAAATTATTTAATAAACATAAATAGACTAATACGAGTAACATTGGACATCGTAGAATATCTGTCTCATCGTTGCTCCTGCCGCGGTGTACCACCAAAAACAAATATTATAATGTGAATGTTTTTTATTTATAACAATTAATTTTAATTATGAAAAACGTTAACTTATGAAATACTAATGTCTGTTAAAGTTGAAAAAGTGTTTATACGCCCTCATTTAAGTTTCAAAACGATTTTTATTAAAATTATTATTCTACAGCACATGTTATCGGCATCGGGAAATTGACGTCCCCAACGTCCAGAGCACTTTGTTCAGTACATAATATCTCTATTTAAACCAGGTGCTATGAAAATTGTCACAAACTAGATACAAAAGTACAAACTACCAGTTGTAGCACTACAAGAAGTACGTTGGCCCGGCATCTAAATGTATATAAGAGAAAGGACGTACTAATAAAGTAATTCTTCTATGGTAGTCAGTAGACAGTAGAAATGACGACTACGGAAACATATGCGTTATTTTAATTGTTACTTTTATAAAAATTATATTTTTTGTGTCTATAAGTGCGATATGAATGTGATTATTGAGAAAATTATTTTATATTATATTCGGAAAAAATATTATTTCATATTATTTAAAAAAAATTGTGTTTTAAACTAATTTTAATAAAGAGTAATCATTAAAAATATTAATAGTATCATTAAAAACATTTTTAGAGTATTGGTTTTCTTATATTTTTTGTTTTTAAAAAAAATTAAAGTTGAAATGGAATTAAAGACATTAGAGTTTCGTGAAACACAAACTATTTTTTAAGGGTTCCGTGATAGTAAAAGATTGGGAACCGCTGTTATAATAAATGTCGTTCTATTTTTTTTTTTCATACAATTAACCAAAGTTAGATTTTTAAGAATCTATGTATTCGTAGGTATCTACCTGATACCAATAAATTGAGCTTAAAACTATACTTTTACTTCTCTTAATTATTTGCTTCTAAGGCATACCCACTTGGAAATGTACAACCCCCCCCCCCCGGGGGATAGAAGGTCTGAAATAAATACTGGCCCCAACCGAAGAAGGTAACAACGACATCAAAAGTGAATTCTACGAAGAGCTGGAAAGAATATATGACATCCAACCCAGAAATTACATAAAAATACTAATATGGGATTTCAACGCCCAAATCGGAAGGGAGCCGTTATACAGATCGGTTATAGGGCTAGAAAGCTTGCATTTAATATCAAATAATAATGATATGAGGGTAATAATTTTTGCATCATCGAAAGACCTGATGGTAAGCAGCATGTTTTTCCCGAGAAAAGATATTTTTAAACATACGTGGATATGTCCTGATACAAGAACTAAGAACCAGATAGACCACATCATAGTTAATAGAAGACACAAACCTTGCATAACCAATGTCAGAAGCTATAGAGGAGCAGATGATGATTCCGACCACTATCTGGTAATTGTCAACCTCGTACTAAAGTTGTCAGTGAGCTGGAAGAAGAAAAAACAGCATATGGTAAAAAAAAAATTCAGCGCTAAGAAAGCAAAAAACTCAGCAGAAGTCCAAGCATACCAAAGTAAAATGGCTAACATACTTAATAGGGAAAGTGTACCATAAAATGATAATGATATTGAAAATTCATGGGTAAAGATGAATTCAGGGAAACAGTGAATGAAGCCGCAAAAAACTTGCTAGTCTCGGGAATCGAAGAAAAATAATAAGTGGTTCAATAATGAATGTCATGAAGCAGTTAGGAAGCGTAATTTATGTAGAGTTAACATGTTACAGATTGATACACAGGAGAACATACAAGAATATTAAAAGGCAAGATCTCATGCAAGTAAATTATTAAGACAGAATAAAAGAGCAGCGGAAAAGAAACTAATAGAGGAAATAGAAATATTCAAAAAGGAGCCTAGATTATTCTTTAAAAAGTGCAAATCTGTAAGTCAAGGTTACAAAGCAAGAGCGTCAATAATGAAGAACGAACATGGAAACCTTATAACAGACACTAAGAAAATTGCCCTACACTTAATGGAGTTTTTTTAAGAACATTTTTAACAACAATATGAGGAATAACATCATACCCTACGAAAAAAGAATCTATTATACAGCGAAACCAGAGATCTTAAAACCTAAATTGGATGAAGATAAAATCATAATAAATACTCTCAAAAACAATAAAGCGCCTGGAGAGGATATCATAAATTCAGAGTTAATTAAACGGCCCAACAAATAATTAATAACTGAAATACACAAGTTAATTTATAACGTATGGACTAGAGAAAAAGTACCAACGGGCTGGAATATGGCAATCATTTGTCCGATTTTCAAAAAGGGAGACCCAACAGAAGTCGAAAACTACCGAGGAATCTCCCTTTTGGATACAAACTATAAGATTCTGTCTCTGACAATTCTCAACAGGTTGGAAAAATATGCAAGTGTTATTATTGGAGAATACCAAAGCGGGTTTATAAGAGGGAGATTAACCACAAACCATATATTTACTATCAGACAAATTATGAAGAAATATTACGAATACAATAAAGAGTTCCACATAGTTTTAGTTAATTTTAA